GCGGAAGCCTCGGAAGGGAGGGGGGGGCGGCGTCAGCTGCTGCTGGCACTGGCGCTGTCATCTGCGCTGGCGGTGGGCGCTGGCAATGGCGCTAGCGTCCGCCGCTAACGCCGGCGCTGGTTGCTGGCGGTCGCGAGCGCCAAAGCTTGCGCCTGCGCGTGGCTGTGCGCGGTTGTGCGCAGCTGTACGCGGCTGCGTGCAGCAATGCGCGGCTGCGCGCAGCTTTGCGCGGCTCTGCGCCCGTGGCTACCGGACGGGACGGGTCGGGGTAGCGCGGAACGGGGCGAACAGCGCGCGGGAAGGGTATCGCGGGGCGGGCAGCGAGCGAGCACCTTAACGGGTCTACAGCAACCGTGTCTTAAAAAAAGGTGAATATCTTAGGTCCTTAGGAACGTGGCTCTGATACCATGTCAAAATAGCCACAGCTTTAGGAGTCATGGCAAGTAGGAACGTGAGTGATGAGAGAAGAGAAGGGGTGTTCATTATGGAAAGGTAGTACAAGATATAGCATGGGAAGGTGGGGAAAAGGGATACACCACCAAAGAATAGAAGAGAATGATGCTACTACACTAACTAGATTGTATGCGGTTATATGAAGAACATAATTTTAACACCCGTATGTCTGGCCCAAGGCTAGTTTTATCATTGTAAATCACCCTGATACCCTGATAATCAGGGTGGTTTTTGGTAGTCACACTGATGGTCCGGGGTAATTTTTTTAGGAGTCAGGATTCTCCTGATGTGCCAGGGTTTACATTTAAGGCACACTGATGACTAAGGGTTCCCGTTTCCCATAACGAGTTTTACCCTGAAGCGAGTTCCATACCCCCCCCCCCCCTCCGCCCCCCTAGTTCCCCCACCCCCCCTCTCCCGTATCCCAGGATTCCCGAATCCCGATTGCCAACTATCGAAACTGTAATTTCGGCCTTGACAACGCATGTGCTGGCACAAATTGGGCCACCATTGGCCAAACTTACAGTTTCTTTGTAGGCAGCGCCACCGACTCAGGTCGGTTTGTTTGTCTAATAGGAAAATACGACCGGGTTAGCTGGAAACTTGGTTGAGTGCAGCAGAATGTCGGCGCCCACTAGCCCACTGGGCACCGCGTTCTTTGCACGACTGTGGGTGGCTCTGCAGTTCGTTTGCGTGCACGTTAGGAAATACATGCGCTGGGGACTGGGGGCACGAGCACGATTGAGGTCTCACCTTTGGTAGAGAGAGACCTCACTCTCACTTGGGCTTACCATCAGAGGTAGGCGTTTCTCCTGAGACACACGAGCAGCCATGGCTCCTACTGAGGACGTTGATGGTGAAGCTGCTGTGGAAGATTGAAGAGAGAAAGAGGACTGCTCTAGCAAGAATGGGGATACAAATAGGAAACCCTAGAAGGGTTGTACTCGCTATAGAGCACCCCACTACAGGCTAGAGCATAAGATAACATTCTGACAGCTGCTGACGAGCCACCTAACGATGCTCCCGCGCGGACAGGCTTAGATTTCCTGCGAGGGCTGCATGCGAACCCTCCGCCTGTCTACACGGCAGGCCCGTCATCCTGCAGCAATGAAAAGTAGCCTCCTGTTATTCCTTATTATTCTAATGCCGCCGCGCCGGACAGTGCTCCCGCCTCTGTCAGCGTCACAAAGGTTGGCGAGTCATCGTCTGCTGCCTTGAAGAAGAGGCATCGCTACGCGCAAGCTGTTCTCCCATTCGGCACGCCCCCTGTGATACTGGCTCCGCCTCCCGCACCCGTCGAAGCTCCCAAGCGTGTGTCTTGTGAACTCACGAAAGCCGAGAAGGCAGAGGAGAATTTTCTGAAGGCGCAGCATCTATACATCACGCAATGGCTGCCGAAGTTTGACTGGCTGCTACTTGACAGGAACGAGGAGGGCCTGCCCATACTGCGATGCAGTATATGCGTGGAGCACGGCAAGGACGACGTGAAATTTGGACGCAACGGAACGGGGGGACGCAATCTGCAGCTCAGATCGATGCGATGTCACGAGCTGAGCGGCCGCCACGACGAAGCCATGTAAAGGCAGCGGACGCTCATGGCGGAGATCGAGAAGCAGAAGACAATCGACCATTTCGCCAACACCGACAAGGAGGGCGCGCAGCTCACTTGTCTCATGCGCGGCGTGGAGTTCATCTACGACCATGACGCCCCGATCGCGATGTACACGAAGCTCATAGAATTTCTTGCGAAAGAGGGATTCGCAGACCTCCTGCTTCAGTCCTATAGGGTGTACATCACATAGTAAGTCTACGTTTGTTGCTGTGTTTTGATTGCTTGGTTTTCAAATTTGTAGCTGCGCATCATCTAATCTTTTACCTCACCCACGGCTTGTGGCAGGTACGGATTCAACGAGATGGCGTCGGCGATGGCAAAGTACCAGAGAACTCAGCAGGTGCAGCATCTTCTTGCGTCACCATTCGTCGGCCTTATCTGCAACGAGAGCACCGATCGCGCGCGTGGCAAACACTTGATTGTGTTTGCCACCTTCCTCAAGAACGGCGTATCCGTCACGGGGTTTCTGGCGCTGCTGACGGTGCATAAGTGCGACGCGTCGTCGATTTTCACCGTGCTCACTAGCCACCTGGACTCGATCCGTGTAGACATCAAGCGGGTGGCCGGCATGGGCACCGACGGTGTTGTGTGATGACGGGGGATAAGAGCCAACTCGTATGCCGCTTGCAAGAGCGCGTGCCTCATCTCGTCGGATGTCACTACGTAGAGCATCGGTAAGAGTTGGTTTGTTGTATTTGATATTTTTGTGCTCTAGATGCATTTTAACCAATACTCTGGAGATACTAACCAACCTTCTTGATCTGTTGCAATGAGGCGCTCGTGGTCAAGGATGCAGCGAAAGCATTCCCAGACCTTAACATCATTGATGCTACTGTGCGTGCTGTGGGAGAGATCATTTGCCGCTCTAACATTTGGTACGAGAGGTTCAAGGAGCTGCAACAAGAGATACTCCGAACCAACCTCGAACACCAAGGATTGTTCAACGTCATATAGCTGTCGCGGGGAGACGCTATAGCGAGGCCGTGCAGAGTTTTTGGGGCGGCAATCGTCGTGATTGTGGAGTAGCGGCACAAGATAGCTGCAACAGTACAAATGTTTAGATTTCACTTCTGCTTGTACTTCCTCGCAGATATTCTTGCAGAACTGAACGCGCTCAACCGGTTCTTCTAGCATCGCAAGGCAAGTGTGTCTTTAAGAATGTAAAAGATTGCTAATAAATTTTGCAGTTGCTAACATGTTTGACGTGCCCGGTGTTTTACAGGTGGACATCACACAGATCGCAAAAGAAGTCGACCACACGATCACCATCATCACGCACCGGTACATCCAGTACAGCGAGACATTTGGTGGCGGGAACATCAAGCTACATTCCAAGTTCATCAAAGAACACTGCGATGAAAACCGGACGGTGGTGGTTAAAGGGATTGACGCGGATGGGCGGCAAACAACACACAAGTTCGAGGTGAGCAAGAGACCCATCAAGAAGCACAAGTTCGGGGGCACGCTTGGGGACTGTGACAAGCTGTGCACGGGTTTCGCCAAGGAGATCGTTGCAAGAATGAAGTACCGCATGTGGGACTTGCAACAGATGGGCGGCGCGGAGCTGTTTCAGGTTGAATTGTGGCCATCCAGGGAGGACCAGCGCGGATTAAATAGCCTCGAGTTGATGGCGGCAAACAATGAGTTGTTTGGCGGCATGCTCCCAGCTGAGGACAGATTTATTACTTGCTTTTGATTCCGCTTGCACACTGCATGTGACAGTGCCAATGTACCAGACAACCAATGCCCTTTAATTCCACCGCCCCAAACCCCATCCACGTCAAGATTCGATTTCAAGGTGGCGAAGAAGGAGTTGAGGAGCTTCTGTCACATCCTGTCACGTCATCACGCGGGGGACGATTTCCACCAGGGTCTTCAAAGCATGTTGAAGAGCCGGGATTAGCGACGCAGCTATTCGAACTTGATGACACTCTGGCAGGCACTCGTTGTGCTGCCACTGAGGACAATGGAGTGTGAGAGAGGGTTCAGTCGCTAGAACATCATCAAGAACTGAATGCGCACATCGCTGTGCGATGCACGCCTTGGCGACCTCATGACGCTGCACATGCTGAAGTACTTATACGTCTGGCCAGACGTGGTCGAGATATGGCGCAAGCAGAAAACTCGAAGGTTGTCAAAATCTGTTACGCATGCGACTCCTGTGGACTGGAAGGGGAAACAGAAAGCTCCAGAGCCAGAAGAGGAAAGTTGTCAAATTTATATGTTGCTTATTGTGTAGGCTGTAGTGGGGTAGCCCATATGGGGTACAACACAATTAGGGTTTCCTACTTGTACCCATCCTGCTGCTAGTTCATCCATTCCTCGTCCTAGTTTCTGACATGGTATCAGAGCAAGTTCGTTCCAAGACCGTCTTCTGTAGCACCCACTGACTAGTTTCTGCCCGTGGCACCTTTTTTTCGTGCCCTACTCTGCCCTCCGTGCTGCCCCACCCATTGCGCCGCCCTAGGACCCGTGCGACGCCCTGCCCTACCTGTAACGTCGCCCTAGGACCCGCGCGACGCCCTGCCCTACCCGTCGCGTCGCCCTAGGACCCGCGCGACGGCCTGCCCTGCACGTTGCGTCACCCTAGGACCCACGCGACGGCCTGCCCTGCCCGTCGCCTCGCCCTAGGGCCCGGCCCCGCTTGTCGCGCACCGTTAGGGCCCACGCGCCGCCCTCGCCTGACCGTCGCGCTGCCCTGCTGGTAGCGCGCGGCTCAGCCCTGCCTGTCGCGCACCCTTAGGGCCCTCGCGCCACCCTCGTCTGCCTGCCGCGCTGCCCTGCAAGCAGCGCGCGGCTTGGCCCTGCCTGGCGCATACCTTTAGGGCCCGCGCGTCGTTTTCCCCTAACCGTCGCCTAGCCCTAGGGTTTAGGGTTTAGCCATACGAGCCTACGAGCTACCCTGTAGGTCACGCGCCACCCTACTCTGCCCGTTATGGCCACGCTCAGTGTCCTCACGTTCGATCCGAAGGGCCGCCTGATAGAGTTCGATGCGTGGCTCGACGACCTACAGTTGTTCTTACTGAGCGAGTCCACGAACGGAGTCTCACTGTTTGACCTCACGTCTGGCGCCTCTCCTCCCCCTGCCGCCACAGCTGACAGTACGACTTGCTCACAGTGGCTTACTCGTGACGCTGCTGCTCGCTTAGCCGTTCGCAACCACGTGTCGTTAGCCGAACGCGCTCACTTCAGACAGCATAAGACAGCGAAAGCACTGTATGACGCTGTAGTCACTCGTTACTCTTCCCCGGCCACTGCTGCTCTAGGCCGCCTTCTTCTTCCCTACCTGTTCCCAGAGTTGTCCGCCTTTGCCACAGTAGCCGACCTCGTCACTCACCTTCGTACTAGTGACACTCGCTACCGCACTGCGCTTCCCGCTGAGTTTCTCACCAAGAACCCTCCTCCCATGTACATCACTCTCTACTTCAAATTCACCCACCTCCCTGACTCTCTTAGCGCTGTCACGGACCTCCTTCTAGCCGTTGACCCCAGCACCCTCACTGTCGACCTGCTCGAGAAGCACCTCCTTGCAGCTGAGACTAGCATAGTCGCTGAAGGCGCTTCTCGTGGTACTCCTCGCACCCCCTTCTTTGAGGGGTGTTCGCCCTCCCCCCTTCTCCCCTCAGTCGCCTCTGCTGCAGCTGTTGACTACCTTCGTGCTGAGGAGGTAGGAGCTGCGTCTGCCCCTAGTGGGAGGCGCCGCAGCGGCAAGGGAGGCCAAGGAGGCACGGGCGGTGGGGGTGGCAGAGGTGGAGGCGGCGGTGGAGGGGGTGGAGGGGGCGGCGGTGGTGGAGGGAGTGGTGGTGGGAGTGGGGGTGCAAGTGGCGGTGGGGGTGGCGGCAGTGGCAGTAGTGGCGGCGGCAGTGGTGGCGGCAGTGGGAGTGGAGGCGGCGGCAGTGGTGGCGTTCGGGGTGGTAATAGTCAGAAGGGAGGCCTTGGCGGTGGTAACAGACAGCAGCAGCGGTGTCAGCTTTCGCCCCAGGAGCTACGTGAGTGGTTTGCTCAGCGTGGGGCGGCTGGGGGTAGTGGTCCCTGCCCGTATGTCATTTGCACAGGTGACCGCACTGGTCAGACATGCAGGTTACTCCACACCCAGTACCGCTGCTCCTCTCGTCTTACCGATGCCTTCCGTACAGAGTTTCCATACGCGGCTGAGCTCCGTCACTGGGCAGATCTGCTTTAGCAGGGTGTAGACATCTTTGCTCTTGATTATGATGCTATCCTATCTGCCATGTATGCATTGTCTGTAAGTGGAGAGGGTGAGTGTTACCTGTATATGCCGCTAGACCCAAGTATAGAGGCTGCTGCTCTGGGTGCTAGTGCGTCTGCTGCTCTAGGTGCTGGTGAGTCTGCCCTCTCTGGTACTGAGTCTGCTGCGCCCTTGCACACCTTCACGCTTGACTCAGGTGCTTCCCGCTGTTTCTTTCGTGAAAGTACCACAGTCACACCGCTTTTTGCACCTGTTGCTGTCTCTCTAGGTGACCCCTCTGGGGGCCCAGTCCTTGCACGTTCCTCCACTGTTCTGCCTTGTCCGGCGGTTTTGTCTGGGTCGTTGTCAGGCCTCCACCTCCCCTCATTCTCTACGAACTTGGTGAGGATTGTTGTCCTCCAGGATGCGGAGGCTGACACCTTCACCCGTGGTCGGCAGCGTGTGGCGATCCGTACGTGCTCGCCCGGGTCGAGTCTGTACGCACTGACTACTGCGCCTCCTCAGGTAGCTGCGTCTGCGTCTACGTCAGGTCAGCTTGCAGCCCCCTGCTCGTGTCGCGCCCTGTCGCCACAAACGCTCCTTTGGCACCACCGCCTTGGTCACCCCTCTATGGCACGCCTCCATGGCATGCACTCGCGTCTCCTTTTCCCTGGTCTTCCCAGGTCTCTCCCTCCCCTTCCACCCTCGCCTGCCCCTCCCTGCCTTCCCTGCGTCGAGGGGCGGCAGCGCGCTGCTCCTCACTCCTCCTCTTTCCCCCCGACAAAGGCTCCCCTGCAGACTCTCCACCTGGACGTGTGGGGCCGAGCCCGCGTCCGTGGACAGGGCCACGAGCGGTACTTTCTGCTGGTTGTCGACGAATACACGTGTTACACCATGGTCTTCCCCTTGCGCCACAAGGGGGAGGTCCCTGATATTATGATCCCTTGGATCCGCGCTGTTCGTCTCCAGCTCCGCGAGCGGTTCGTGACGGACCTTCCCGTCCTGCGTCTACACTCTGACAGAGGTGGTGAGTTTTCCTCCGACCTCTTGCGGGCCTTTTGTCGTCGGATGGCATTCGCCAGACGTTCACGCTTCCGGCCTCTCCGCAGCAGAATGGGGTTGCTGAGCGCCGCATTGGCTTGGTCATGGAGGTCGCTAGTACCTCCATGAACCATGCGGCTGCCCCCCATTTTCTGTGGCCGTTTGCAGTCCAGTACGCTGCGCATCAGCTCAACCTCTGGCCCCGTGTCTCCTTGCCGGAGACCTCGCCCACACTGCGTTGGACGGGGGAGGTTGGCGATGCGTCGGTGTTCCGGGTCTGAGGATGTCGAGCCTTTGTCCGCGATACGTCCGCGGACAAGCTCTCCTCCCGCGCCGTTCCCTGTGTCTTCCTTGGCTTTGTCCCTGACGCGCCTGGCTGGCAGTTTTACCACCCCACCTCGCGCAGTGTCCTGCCCTCGCAGGACGTCACGTTTGATGAGTTGGTTCCCCTTTACCGTCTCTTCCGCTACCGCACTGCCCCTCTCCCTCCCCCGCCGCTCTTCCTCGCACCAGGTCCTCCTCCGGTAGACCCCCTTCCCCCTTAGGGTCCTTCTCCCTCATGTGTGTCCCAGGTAGACCCTGTCGAGCCTGTCGAGGTAGCTGTCGACTCTGGTACAGCTAGAGGCGCTGCGTCTCGGGGTGCTGCGTCTGGGGGTGCTGCGCCTACGGGTGTGGGGCCTGGGAGTGCGGAACCTGGGGGTGCTGCGACTGGGGGTGCTGAGTCTGGGGGTGCTGAGCCTGAGCGTGGGGGTACTTTGTCTTCTGGAGGTCCTCCGGGTGTCTTGTCCCGTCGGGAGACGCTCTCTCCACCGCAGCTGCGTGAGTGGTTTGCTCGGAACTGGAGCCTCCGGAGTGGTGCTGCTGAAGCTGGAGCTGCAGGAGGTGCTGGAGCCCCTGGTCCCGGAGGTGCTCGTACTGGAGGTACTGGAGCTGCTGGGGCTGGAGGTGCTGCTGGAGCTGCTCGAGGTGCTGCTGGAGATGGAGCTGCTGGAGGTACTGGAGTTAAAGGTGCTGCTAGAGCTGGAGCTGCTGGAGGTACTGGAGCTACTGGAGTTGGAGGTGCTGCTGGAGGTAATGGAGCTACTGGAGCTGGAGGTGTTGCTGGAGCTGGAGCTGGAGGTGCTGCTGGAGCTAGAGCTGCTGGAGTTGCTGCTGGAGCTGGAGCTGGAGGTACTGGTGCTGTCGATGCTGGTTCTGGAGGCGCTGAGCTACCGCGACCGTACTTCGTTCCATTGCTTCAGCAGGTTCTTGGTCTCCCGCCTTCTACTGACCTTTCCCCTCCCTTACTGTGTCCACCGCCTGACCAATCCCAGCCGCAGTTACAGCCAGCCTCCCCACTGCCTGCTCCTTCTCCTTACACTGAGCAGCTCGGAGGTCTTACAGAGCGTCGTGAGCCTGCGTCTCGTCCTGCGTCGCCTGTTCGCGCTGTTCGCACTGGTCGTCGTGTTCCGCGTCAGCGTCCTCCTCCTGTCCCCGGCACGCACCAGATGGCGCTTCGTCCTTCCTCTATTCCACTGCGTGTCCCTCTGCCGTCTCCTCCTTCGTCCTCCCTTGCTGACGGTCCGGACCCAGAGTCTGACTACCTTCGTGTTCCTAGTCCTACTCTCACGTGTCTCCTGGCCACTGTTGTCAGTGAATTTTCCTTTGAGTCTACTGCTGCGTCTACTCTTGTTGCTGAGCTGGTTGACTTTTCTGCCGCTTGTCATCTAGACTACGCCGCTAGTCTTGTTGCTGAGTCAGAGTCTGTCTGTCCTCCGTCCATCGGGGGTGAGTGTGCTCTTGGCACGCACGTCCTTAAGGACAGGGCAGGAGGACTTTGAGTGTTTTGCAGCTGCTGTACCTCATCTCGTGTCCATGCTGATTGCACCTGAGGGAGACCCGAATGCACCAGACATCCCAACGCCGTGCTCTTACGCAGAGGCGATAGAGGATCCCTACTCCTCTCAGTGGCAGTCAACCATGGACGCAGAGATGGCATCTTGGAAGTCCACAGGCGCCTACTTCGACGAGGTTCCCCCACCTCGGGCGAACATTGTCAGTGGCATGTGGATTTTCAGGGTGAAGCGGCCGCCGGGTTCTCCGCCTGTCTTCAAGGCGTGTTACGTTGCACGAGGCTTCAGTCAGCGACAGGAAGTTGACTTCTTTCAAACCTTCTCCCCTACCCCGAAGATGACCACTCTTTGGGTATTGATGCACGTTGCCGCTCAGCGTACGAGCTTCACTCTCTTGACTTCAGCACTGCTTTCCTACAGGGCAGCCTGCACGAGGAGATCTGGCTGCACCGCCCACCTGGCTTCACTGGGTCGTTTCCTACAGGTTCCCAGTAGAGCCTCCGGCGGCCAGCCTACTGTCTCTGCCAGGCGCCTCGCGAGTGGCACGACACACTGAGGACGACTCTTGCGGCACTTGGGTTTGCTCCTTCTACTGCTGACCCGTCGCTGTTTCTACGCACCGACACTTCGCTGCCGCCGTTCTACATCCTCGTGTACGTCCACGACTTGGTCTTCGCCGCTGCTGACACTGCTCGATTTGCCCACGTAAAGTCGGAGCTGCAACGGAGACACACGTGCACAGACCTAGGTGAGCTGCGCAGCCATCTTGGCTTGGAGATCACCCGGGACAGAGCACAGCGCACCATTACTTTGACTCGGTCACACATGGTGCAGCAGGTCTGTCAGGATCTAGGATCGAGCTCAGAAAAGAGAATGAGAATTGAGTCGAATTGAATGATCACCTGGGTACAACACGAGGCTATATATAGGCTCGACACAAGGCCCTGTAACCAGGTGTTACGCGAAGGTTCCGCGGGTCGCATAGCGTCCCGAACAGATCCTTACCGAATTCGGTAGAGGGCAATTCGGTGGCAACCAAAAAGGCCAGAATTCGGTGCACGTAACCTAGCTCGGTGCTATAACTATTATTAAATATAGGAAAGCACCTAGCCTAGGAAATCAAGCAATTCATGCATGCATATGATTATCCTATGCTAGAAATAGCATGATAAAGTAAAGGCAAGCAAGCATAGCAGGCATAAGCCGTCATACTCTCACACGTCCCCCCCTCAAAGCTGGGTGGCGTGAGATACACCCTGCTTGACAAGATAGTCCTTGAGAGCACGGCGTGCGTTGCCCATATCAGCTTCTGCAACCCAACTGTCCTCAGTGGGGTCGTATCCCTTCCAGCGTATCAGGAACTCGAGGGTCTTGCCGCCGCGGCGCCGATGAGAGAGAACGCGCTCGATCTCGAACTCGGGTTCATCCTGCACAAGAACAGGTGGTGGTGGTGGTAGCTGGCGTCCCTGGAACTGTTGGTTGGGGTCCTTGTAGGGTTTCAGTAGCTGCACATGGAAAGCATTGTGAAGCTTCCAAGTAGTAGGTAAGCGCAAGCGAAATGTAACTGGTGTCACCTGTGCCTCTACGAGAAAAGGACCACAGAAGCGAGGTCGGAGTTTGGATGGGAGGTGAGACAGGTTCAAGTTGCGCGTGTCAAGAAGCACCTGATCTCCGACTGCTACTGAGTGATCACGTCGCTGACGATCGGCATACTGCTTCTGGGAGGTCTGCATCGTGGTGAGTCGTCGCTGAGTCTTTTCCCATAGCTACTGCATGGTGGTGACGAAGTCATGTGCGGCTTGGACATGTGCCGGTGTGGTTGGCTGCTGTGGTGTGAGTGGTTCCCGTCCGTAACACAGGAAGAAAGGAGTTTTCCCTGTGACCACATGTGATGCGTTGTTATAAGCGAACTCTAGGGTCGGTAACGGTGTGTCCCAGTGGCTGACGTCGTCCTTGCAAGCTGTGCGCAGTAACTGTTCAACCACTTGATTGAGTCGCTCGGTCTGTCCGTCAATCTGTGGGTGGTATGCTGAGGACATCGCAAGTTTGGTCCCCAATAATCCCATGAGCTCCTTCGAGAACTTACTGGTGAATTTGGGGTCTCTGTCTGAGATGAGTGTAGCGGGTATGCCGTGGATGGTGATGATGCGGTCGAAGAAGAGGCGAGCAGTTGCTTCAGCTGTAGCTGTGGCGTTGGTCGGTATGAAGTGACCCATTTTGGAGAACTTATCGATCACTACGAGGATGGAATCGTGCCCCCGTGAGGTCAAAGGAAGTCCTGTGATAAATTCAAGGCTAACGACCTGCCATGGCTGCTCCGGTACGGGTAGAGGCTGGAGTAACCCTGCTTTTTTCTGCTTGCTACTCTTCATCCTCTGGCACGTGTCGCAAGAGGTGACGAACTGCTGCACGTCTGCTGCCATCCCGCGCCAGTAGTAATACTTCGCTATCCCTGCTAACGTCTTGTTGTTCCCGAAATGTCCCGCGTAAGGTACGTCGTGAAACTCCTCCAATAGGATCTGCCGTAGCGGGGCGTAATTTGGTACCCAAATCTTTCCTGGACCCTTCCTTACTGCTAGGTCTTTCTCCCACTGTAACAGCTTCTTAGTCTGTGCTGTAGCGATCTCTGCGTCCACGGAGTACCCATGTTGGAATAGACCCTTGAGCAGAGGGTTCATTCCGTCGAGCTGGATGCCTGCTACATGTCCGAGGCGGCTCAACGTGTCTGCCTTATTGTGTAGCCCGGGCTTGTAGACGATGTCGTAGTGGAAGTGAGTTTCCAGGAAGTCCACCCACCGCACCTATCGTCGTGAGAGCGTCGGCTACGACTTCAGGTATTTGAGACTGCAGTGGTCAGTATAGACTGTAGTCTTGGCTCCCTCTAGGTAACACCTCCACGCCTTGAAGGCTATGACTATTGCTAAGGCTTCCTTGTCATGGATGGGGTGGTTCAGTTCTGCTCCGTGTAGCTTCTTACTGAGGTAGGCGATGGGCTGCAAACCGCGTCCGTGATCCTGCATCAGTACTGCTCCGACTGCCTGGTCACTCGCATCTGCTTCCACCACGTAGTTCGATCCGCCGCCCTTCGCGGCCCGTCGCCGCTCTCCACCGACGGCCCCTCGCTGCCCTTTCACCAGCGGCCCCGTCGCCGCCCTTGCACGGCCCTGACGCCGCCCTCCATGCGGCTCTGTCGCCGCCCTCTTGAGCGGCCCGACGTCGCCCTTCTCAGCGGCCCCGCGGTCTCCTTTCAGCGGCCCCGCCGTCTCCTTTCAGCGGCCCCGCCGTCTCCTTTCAGCGGCCCCGCCGTCTCCTTTCATCGGCCCCGCCACTACCTCTGCAGCGGCCTCATCGCCGCCATTTCAGCGGCCCCGCCGCCTCCATTAAGCGACCTCGCCGCCTCCTCTCGGCGGCCCCGCCGCCTCCTCTCCGCGGCCCCACCGCCTCCTCTCCGCAGCCCCGCCGCCTCCTCTCGGCGACCCAGCCACCTCCTCTCAGCGGCCCCGGACGCCGCCCTCTCAGCGGCCCTTCCGCCGCCTCCTTTGCGGCCCCGCCGAGCTGCCTAGCAGTAGAGCCGCCGAGCCGCCCAGCCACCGAGCCGCCCAGCATCCGAGCCGCTGCGCCGCCCAGCAGCCGAGCTGCCGAGCCGCCCAGCCGCCGAGCCGCCCAGCAGCCGAGCCGCCGAACCGCCCTGCAGCCGAGCCCCCGAGCCGCCTAGCAGCCGAGCTGCCGAGCCGCCCAGCAGCCGAGCCGCCGAGCCGCCCAGCAACCGAGCCGCCGAGACGCCCAGCTGCCGAGCCGCCTACCGCCCAGCTGCCGAGCCGCCGAGTCACCCTGCAGCCGAGCCGCTCGAGCCGCCCTGTCTGGTAAGAGCAGCGCCTCTGTCACTGCACTTCCCTCACCCTACTGTTCGCGCTACTAGTCTACTGCTGTCATGGCTACCCCTAGTGTCCTCGCTTTTGACGCTGAGGGTCGGGCCATTGACTTTGACGTCTGGATAGATGACCTGCAGCTTTTCTTACAGTGCGATAGGGCGGACGGTCTCTCTCTCTTTGACCTCACCTCTGGTGCCTCTCCTGCCCCTGCTGCTGATGCTGACGCCACTGTTTGCTCACAGTGGGCCACGCGCGATGCTGCTGCACGTCTTGCTGTGCGTCGCCACCTGCCTACCTCTGAGCGTGCGCACTTTAGCCAGTACAAGAGTGCTCAGACCTTGTACGACGCTGTAGTTGCACGCTACTCCTCCCCTGCCACTGCTGCACTGAGCCGCCTCATGCTACCGTACCTCTTCCCTGACCTTGCTGCCTTTCCCACAGTCGCTGACCTCATTACGCACCTCCGCACTAGTGACACTCGCTACCGCGCTGCGCTTCCTGCTGACTTCTGCGCCAAGAACCCCCCCCCCATGTACATCACTCTCTACTACATAGTCACCCGCCTCCCTGACTCCCTTCGCGTAGTCAGTGACCACTTTCTCTCAGTCTGTCCCACCACTCTCACTGTTGACCTCCTCGAGAAGGCCCTCCTAGCAGCGGAGAAGAGCATAGTCACTGTAGGGGCCTCTCGTGGTGACCCGCGCACCCCCATCTTTGAGGGGTGTTCACCCTCCCCTCTCTTGCCCTCTGTTGCCTCTGCTGCTGCGGTCGACCTCGTTGGTCTGGAGTCGGTCGCTGCGGCGTCTACCCCTAGTGGGAAGCGTCGCTCTGGCAAGGGCAAGGGGGGCAGGGGCGCTGGAGGAGCTAGCGGGGGCGGTGGAGGCGGCGGTGGAGGCAGTGGAGGGGGTGGGGGTGGTGGTGGGAGTGGTGGCGGGGGTGGAGGTGTCGGCGGCGGCAGTGGAGGCGGAGGCGGCGGCGGCGGTGGCGGTGGGAGCGGAGGTGGTGGAGGTGGCGGAGGTGGAGGAGGCGGTGGCGGAGGAGGAGGAGGAGGAGGAGGTTGTGGCTCTTCGCAGAGGAGTGGCTCCGGTGGTGGTCAGCGCCAGCAGCAGCAGCGCAGTCGGGAGACCCTGTCCCCTCAGCAGCTCCGTGAGTGGTACTCTGCACGCCAGCGGGGTGGGGGTACTGGTCCGTGCACCTACGTCCTACGCACCGGCGACCGTGCGGATCGGCAGTGTGGGGGTGCGCACCCCACCCAGCGCTGCTTTGGCCGCGTGACGGACGCTTGGCGTCACCAGTTCCCTGAGGCCACTGAGATCCCTCGCTGGGGCGAGTTGTCTAGGGCAGGGGTAGCTATCTTTGACCTTGACTTTGATGCTATTCTTGCCGCTTTCTATACTGTGTCTATTAGTGAGGAGGGTGACCATTACCGGTGTTTCCCGCCCGACCCGGGCATTGCGACTGCTGCTCTAGGTGCTGGTGAGGCTGCTGCTCTTGGTGCTAGCGAGGCTGCTGCTCTAGGTGCTAGTGCGTCTGCTTCCTCCGGTACTGGTGAGTCTGCGCTCTCAGGTACTGGGTCGGCTTCGGCCTCCCACACCTTCACACTTGACTCGGGGGCTTCTTGCT